TGTAATTTTGCAGTGGGAGGACTAGCGCCCCATCGTTGGTGTCAGTGGGATGAATAGTGCCCCATCGTTGGCGTCAGTGGGGGGAGGAATAGTGCCCCATCGTTGGCGTCAGTGGGGGGAGGAATAGTGCCCCATCGTTGGCGTCAGTGGGGGGAGGAATAGTGCCCCATCGTTGGCGTCAGTGGGGGGAGGAATAGTGCCCCATCGTTGGCGTCAGTGGGGGGAGGAATAGTGCCCCATCGTTGGCGTCAGTGGGGGGAGGAATAGTGCCCCATCGTTGGCGTCAGTGGGGGGAGGAATAGTGCCCCATCGTTGGCGTCAGTGGGGGGAGGAATAGTGCCCCATCGTTGGCGTCAGTGGGGGGAGGAATAGTGCCCCATCGTTGGCGTCAGTGGGGGGAGGAATAGTGCCCCATCGTTGGCGTCAGTGGGGGGAGGAATAGTGCCCCATCGTTGGCGTCAGTGGGGGGAGGAATAGTGCCCCATCGTTGGCGTCAGTGGGGGGAGGAATAGTGCCCCATCGTTGGCGTCAGTGGGGGGGAGGAATAGTGCCCCATCGTTGGCGTCAGTGGGGGGAGGAATAGTGCCCCATCGTTGGCGTCAGTGGGGGGAGGAATAGTGCCCCATCGTTGGCGTCAGTGGGGGGAGGAATAGTGCCCCATCGTTGGCGTCAGTGGGGGGAGGAATAGTGCCCCATCGTTGGCGTCAGTGGGGGGAGGAATAGTGCCCCATCGTTGGCGTCAGTGGGGGGAGGAATAGTGCCCCATCGTTGGCGTCAGTGGGGGGAGGAATAGTGCCCCATCGTTGGCGTCAGTGGGGGGAGGAATAGTGCCCCATCGTTGGCGTCAGTGGGGGGAGGAATAGTGCCCCATCGTTGGCGTCAGTGGGGGGAGGAATAGTGCCCCATCGTTGGCGTCAGTGGGGGGAGGAATAGTGCCCCATCGTTGGCGTCAGTGGGGGGAGGAATAGTGCCCCATCGTTGGTGTCAGTGGGGGGGAGGAATAGTGCCCCATCGTTGGTATTAGTGACACAAATGATGGGGCACTATCCCTCCCACTGACACCAATGATACTTACCTTGCTGACTCCTGCTCCAGCCTGGGCTCTCTCTCTCCCTCTCCCATCTACAGCCTGCATACCTGGCTGCAGCAGCAAAATTTGCACTTACCTGTCAGCTGTCTTCCTTCTCTAGCCTCTCTCTTCTCTCGCTCCTGCAGCTCCCTCGATCTTCTTTGATCTCCGCGCGCTGCCGCTCGGCTCTTCTCCAAGCTCCACCTCCTCGCCGGTGATTGGCCGCCTGTGTGCCTCTCCTGAGCTACAGTTCCGGTGGCCAATCAGCGGCGAGGAGGCGGAGCTGTTGAGTGATCCCGGAGGTGTGGCCAGGTGACAGGGGCAGCATATCATCCCGCCCACACATCGCCTGAGACAGGAGCGGTGTCTCGGTTCCTAAGACCATCGGAAATATGTGTTTTCCGATGGTCTTAGGCGACCCCTGGGAAATGGTCGTTCGACCCCCAAAGGGGTCGCGACCCCCAGGTTGAGAACCGCTGCCCTAAATGAACTTTTTGGGAGGTCTGTGATAATCTGCTGCCCCTATATATACACATCGGGAACATAATGCTAACATTTTGCTTATAGAGAACAGAAGATAAAGCTATACCGGGTAATATTTAATAAATCATTTTTTGTATGGTCATACTGCTTGGACCTTATACCGAGGAATAAAGTTCCCAACACAAAAGGTGCTACATATTTTTGGTTTATACCTGGTCAGACTGATATTTGTTGAATCCCTTGAAGCTGCCCTTCATTGATCGAATGATGTGTATTATGCCTCTTCTTAAAACGTAACCAAGTAGCTGCTGCTAACTTATCTACAGTATTTTACTTCCTGTAAAAGTCTGCTTTATTGCAAACACATGTTCAACTGGTAGGCAAAAACGATGGGGAACATTGTGGAAGGAAGACATGTGAAAGTGATTGCTGTAAAAATAGGTATAAGTGAGCGCTAAAGGTAACAAAGCTGCTGAACACAAAACGTACCAAAAAAACCTCCAAAAACTCACATATAAAAAAGGTGCAGCGCTTATATATTAAAACATGCAAAATATCAAAAATGCAAAAGTGTATCCCTGCAAAACGCAGGCAGGGTATAGTTATTATACTGCCCCTTATAGTCTCAAATAACACACAAATGTATAGTTCACAAAAAGGGGAACAAATGATATAGAGTGAGATATCGTCACTCCTCGTAACCAGGGGTAACATGTATGGGCACCTGGATATATTATCCCAGGTTGGTCATATGCAAATATTATGACAACTTATGCACATATAGATGATAACGATGCCATGTGTAAATAATAGCAATCGCGTAATTATATGATAAACACCCTCTGTATGCCCATATTATTGGGATTATCAGTAAAAATGCTGATTACAAAGCCCTCTTTATATATGTGGTGTTTACCTAAAATACTTGCTGCAACCCACCTTAAACGTATATAAATAAAGGTAATCTTTGATTGGAAAGGTGACACAAAAAACGTATATTTTAAAATATAAAAAAATATAAAAAACATGTGCATTATGTTCTTCTCACTTTGACAACAAGATATATGAAAATAAAATACTCATAAAAATACGTAAAATATGAAGATCCAAAGGATCCATAAAACAATAAAAATGTATGTAGATTAAAAATTAGAATTCGCAATGGTCTAAAGGCAAATTATAAAAACAGTTAGGACGTTTGTAAACCTATTTGGCCAAAAAATGGAGATATGATAAAAAGGATAAATATAATATAATATCGACTAAAATGGATAAATATTTAACTATTATCTATAAAACAATTTATATCCATTTCAACGTTGAGTCCTTTGGGATGCATAGATCCAATTTCAAAGATCCATCTTGACTCCATCTGTGATACGGCCCGTTTTTTATTTATCCCTCTCCAATTGGATTGTACAACTTCAACTCCCGTAAACGTTAAAGATGATGGATCTCTGTGGTGACACCTGCGATAATGATTGGAAAGGGCATGTTCCTTGTATCCACGTTTGATGTTATAAACGTGTTCACGTAAACGATCCCTTAGGCGTCGTGTTGTGCGGCCTATATACTGCTTCTTGCATGGGCATTGAAGCAAATAAACCACATATCTGCTATTGCAGGTTATAAAATTATCAATTTTGTAATTTCTATCAGTGGTTGAGGACGTAAAGCTGTCAACTCTCCTTTTTCTATGTCCATTGCATGTGCAGATCACACACTTGTTGCAAGGATAAAATCCAATGAAATTATTAAAAAACGGGATACTTGAGGGAGGATTGATCACATTAGGGGCCATCTTATTACGTAAGGAGGGTGCCCTCCTAAAGGTGATTTTAGGTTTATCAGGCAGTTGGGGTCCCGGCGGCCAACTTTATTGTCTGGTCAGTATTGTTTTTATTATACCCTGTTGCTGGATGAAATAAACGCACGCATGCTTAAGCGGTATCACGCAATTCTGGCCTCCTTGTTTCTTTCTGGGGCTCTCTGGTGAGCTTCCAACTACCTGCAGAGTAAAGAGCTATAGGGGACAGTGCAATGCATGACAGCTGAGGGTCCACATCGTAAAGTTTGACCAGACCTTGCCTTTGATGAATCTTGGAACCATACCTTGAGAGGGGTTATCTCTTACATGCGCATATTGGTTGTGCATCTGGTGAGTGCACAATCTTTTACCAGTTTTGTATATCACCATACATCACCTTTTTGGCTATCACCGTGTGTCAATAGAGATCCATCTGATCTTTCACCTCACCCTACCCACTGGGAGATTGTGAACTATACATTTGTGTGTTATTTGAGACTATAAGGGGCAGTATAATAACTATACCCTGCCTGCGTTTTGCAGGGATACACTCTTGCATTTTTGATATTTTGCATGTTTTAATATATAAGCGCTGCACCTTTTTTATATGTGAAAGTGATTATTAGTGTTTCCATTTGCAAGTACAAAGTAATTGTATTTGCAACCTAAATGGACATCACTGCGTGTGGGCAAAATTTGATCACTCTGCCAAACCAAAAATCTGATCTGAACAGACTGGTTGGAAATTACGATAAATGGACTTAACGGTATAAAAAAGATCTTTTATTTATCTGAAGATCATGGACACAAACACACTTGTACACTGCGTGTATATACTTAAACTGTTGCTATTTTTGCATCACTAAAAAACAGAGCAATGGACCTTTCCACAGAACTGCGGTGGCCTGAGGTTCTTCAAGTTAGTTCACGTAGAAAAATGCTAATGTTAATGCTAATAATATTCACAGTCTTTAACTGGATTACTACACAGGATGTTAGCTGAGTGCTGGAACACATAATGCTTAGTATAAATAAATTTAACAATCTGTGTCAAAGTTTTCTACTTATTCACCAATGTACTGTGTTTTTTGCTCCATAAGATACACCTTTTCTCCCCCCCAAAAATGGGGGAAAATATCTGTGCGTATTATGGAGAGAATATGGAGTGGTCGGCCCGGTATTCCTGCCCCCATGTCAGAGTACCGGGCCGGCTGCTTGGCTCTTCTCTGAAGCAGAACCTTACCTGTTCCTCAGTCCAGCGCCGTCTTCACGGTCTTCTCTCCTGGCGCCGGCATCTTTAGTGTGGGAACCCGGTTGTGACAGCTTGCGGCTTCACAGCCGGGTGCCACTGCGCATGTGCGGGAAGTGCTGCGCTTTGTGAATGGTCCGGCAATCTTCTGGGACCTGTCACGTGTCCCAGAAGATGGGGAGGGAGGACAACTCCGTGGAAGTGGGAGCGGGTACCTGTCAAATTTGGGTACCAGCTCCCCCCCCACCTCCCCAAAGGTCCGCAGTCTCTGGTCATCTGTAGTATATATATATAGAATAAATGTGCATGTATTGCAGATATATACTAACTATGGTATATTTTTTTTCATTTTGCCTAAAAATGCATTTTAAATCTATTCTCTTCATAAGGTGTTAATTAACACACCAACTAACCCCCCAAAAAGTACCTGGTGTTGAAGGTCTTTCCAGCATATTTAAATGATGATAAATGAATGCTTGGCTGTCATGCACAGTATCCATGTCTATTTCTTCCTCTTCCTGTACAATTGAGAACTGAAAAAAAAAAAACCATTATACACACATTACAATTTTGCTGGTTGAAGGACCAGTGATATAAGTGGTATGTTATAAATTTATATAGGATGCTACTGGGAAGAGTCATAAGATATTATATATATATTTCACAGATGTCATATTTCATAGAACAGTAGTATTTTAATTTTGTGATTTAATATTTTTAAAGCATATAACTGCAAACATTTGGTATCAAGAATTATAAAGGTTAATATTTGAAATAAAAATGGCTGTTGCTTAAAGACGATCTTCGCTCGCCGCTGCATTCCCCCACTTGCTTACTGGGAGGTCCGTTGCTTACATTTCCGATACTCACCCACCCAGAGGATCCAGTGTTGTCCTGCTTAGATCCTCTCTGCCACCTCTTGGTCCCATGCCGACATATTGCTTATGATGGGGGTCAGCAACCAGTAGATCGTGCTCTACCAGTAGATTTTGAACAGGTGACTGGTGGATCTCGGTCGGGGCTTGCTGAAATGCCATCCAACAGAGTGCAATGCAGAGGAACTACTTGTAAAGTTGGAGCTGTAATGGGGAGCAAGAGCCGCACAAGTTGAGGTCTCCTCTGTAGTGCTGCTTCCTACGCCCTGTCATGGTTGGTGGGTGTAGCACCAGCCAAGCATGACCCATTCCAGTGAATGAGACCGCTCTGCAACCTTGTGCAGTACAGCAAACAAGGGGTTAAACAGGCAGTGATGTGTTGCTTTCTCACCACCTGCTTTAAGCCCTTGGACCCTGCAGAAGCATGAAGTTGCAGGGCACTTGCAGAGTGACCCATTTACTTGAATAGGTCTCGGATGACAGGCGGTAGCACCCATCAAAAGCAACCGGGGGTGTAATTCCTGCTGCGGCATGTGTACACCTTTGGCTGCTGCCTCAGCAGATAAAGGGGATAGGGATTGGGGGGTGGTAAGGCGAATTCAATTGCAGTGTTTTACCACCCCTCCCCCAACTTTACATGTGAACAAGCCCATAGGGTGCTGCTGCTGATTACAACTGCGGGCTCATTCACAGGTGCAGTAGGCACTGCTGCTGCTCTGAAAAGTGCATATAACAGGTGGTGAGGAGGCAATATGTTGCCTCATCATCCGATTTAAACCCATGATTGCCATGCAATGCACGCAATTGTGACATGGTAGTATAGCAATTAGAGGTTTAAATCAGGTGGAAAGGAGGCAACTCTGTGCCTGGTGATCTTTGATTTCTCCCCCGTTGTTCAGGCATATCTCCACCTCTTTAAAGTTGCCTACCCCTGGCTTATGACATCAAGAGGCCCGCCAGCTGCTCCTGGTTAAAATGGCATGACTCCCGATGATGCAGTGATCCTTTGTGAATGAAAGCTATGCTTCCTGAGATGTGACCTGCATATCCCAGGAGGCAAAGGGAGGACAGTGAACGTCATTCACCTAAGCGAAGGAGGGCAAGGCCACACTTTAAAGAAGAAAAATTTTGAAAAAAAAAAAAAAAAAAAAAAAAAAAAAAAAAAAAAAAAGACAGCCCTAATCTGGTAGTGGAGGGGTGAATAGTAGGAGGGAAGTGTTTGCTGAGGGTGAAGATCCACTTTAAGCTTGCTATACACTAGTAGATTTTCGATCAAATGTTTGTACAGTCAATAACTCCCAAACTTTAAATTTAAAGTTTCATTTGCTTCCAACATCTGATTTTTGGAACACAATGTCCTCAATGAAAACCCCATTCACTGTTAGAAATTAGTATGTTCGGGAAAAATTTTCCATCCTGCTCCTTCAAATTTTCTCATCACTATAGTAGAAAACGATCAGCGTTTTGAACTCATTAACAATTAGAAAACTGATCACAATCTTACAAAATGCTACTAGTGTATGGCCAGTTTTACTCTACAGAATCACTTAAATTCCAATACATGTAAGGTGATGTTTATTTTGTGTCGCAAGCTTTTTTATGAACAAACACAAAAAAAAGAGGGGTCTGGAAAAAAATCCTGGCACCCCTCACTCACAGCAAGTGGACTGAATGATGCTGGTTGTCAATTGACCAAGAAGTCAAATGGCATTGGATTTCGGAGAGGACTTTTTGTGGGGGCCAGCACTAGAAAGGATGGGTGCTAAAGACAGCAGAGATCGTAAGCGTGATCCCTGTCAGTGAATGGACATGTTGCTCAACACAGAGGACTCTAGTCCGTGTCACTATCTTTTGGTTTATGGACTCTAAGATTTTTTTGTGTTCTGTGAGATTTTACTTCATTACTGGTCATGGGTTGCAGAAGTCACCAAAAGGGGAAGTGTGGGGCATCTTCCAAATTTGGACATCAACAACACTAAAAAGTGTATGCAGGTCCTACCCCTTATCCATCTGATGAATGGCTATCAGCAAAAAAGGAGAAATTTAACTTCATCTAGAGCAATGGTCTCCAAACTGTGGATTGGGTGCCGGATGTGGCCCTCTGTCTGCTTTTATCCTGCCCTTGGGGCACTATTCCTCCCAATATATGAGATACTATTCATCCCACTGACACCAACAAGGGGGCATAATTCCTGTCACTGATACTAAAAATAGGGCATTATTTCTACCACTGACCCAACAATGGGGCACTATTCTTCCCACTGAAACCAACGATGGGGCACTATTCTTCCCACTGAAACCAACGATGGGGCACTATTCTTCCCACTGAAACCAACGATGGGGCACTATTCTTCCCACTAACACCACCAGCAGGGCAATTTTTTCTTCCCACTGACACCGATGATTTGGCACTATTCCTCCTACTGACACCAAAGGCAGGGCATTATTCTTCTCACGGACGCCAATGATGAGGCACTATTCCTTCCCCTGATACAAACAGTGGGGCATTCATTATTCCTCCCACCGACACCAATGATGGGGCATTGTTTACTCCCATTGATGCCAGGACATCCTCTACTCACACTGGCCACAACTTGGCCCCCTGAAAGTTTGAAGGACAGTAAACTGGCCCTTTGTGATAGACAAGGATAGTGCACTTGGCAACCATTTCTAGACATTCAAGATCAGAGTTCTCTTAACATTCTAAACAAAGTATTTCCTTAGCTTGAATTGTAACGTCTTGAATCTCATTCTGACCTGTATGTTACCAATGTTCTTATGTTTCTTCAGTACCTGTCCAGGTTCCAGTGCAGATTCATGTGGATTATCTGCTTTCCTTTTCACACCCTGCTGATGGACAGTTATACTGGAAACAACTTCTTTAGCATCCTCCTCCTGTGAAAAACATAGCAAGTTAAGAACATACTTAATAATAAAAAGCAGCCAATAGCAGAATTGTGCATACTCCAGCTTTACTAATATTTCCTTTCTCGAAATCCCAACACCACTTTTCTAACCTCAAAAAGCTCCTGTCATGAAATAATCACATGATACAAAGGGGCACATGCATGAACTGGCAAGCCTATGGTCATGAACAATATGTGAATTCTATGTGATACTGTGAAATATTTTACAGTATACCACTTTGACCCATCAGTAAAAAAAAAAAATGAGAAAGGGACTTTTCATCTGCCACTTCAGATGTGCTAAACAGTGTAGTTCTGATATAATAGCCAATGTTTTTTTTTAAATTAAAGCTGTGCACAAAATGAAAAAAAGCACTTTCATTTGTTGTTCACACTACCGCGTTGTGCAGCGGTGACATTTATTTAAAAAAGAACCCAAGCACATCTCTAGAACACAGGTGACTTACAGTGCAACGCTGAAAAACAATGCAGCACGACCTATTTCTTTTTGCTCATGAAGCCCAGGTTCACACTATGTGGGCAGGACACCGCACATAATTCGCACAGGAATTGCACCGCATTCCTGTGCGAATTCTATGCAAATGGCTGTGCAGTGCAATTTGAGCCACACTTTGTATGGCTCAAATCGCATCCACACCAAAAACGTGCAGGACCCTTTTTTAAATCTGTACCTGAATCGCATCGCATGGGTGTTCTCACCCATGTGATGCGATTGCTGGCAGTCCCATCGTGTTTTGCTGTTTCGGGGTGTCAATTTATCATTGACACCCGCACCAGAATGCACAAACAGGATGAGATTGCAATGCGGTGCGGGAACCGCAAAGTATTAGCAGCTGTTCCCACACCACATTGGTGTGAACCGGGTCTCAAGTGCATTACACCCCTTTCAATTTGAATGGGCTGCCCAAGTATGGCACAATGTGTTTTAGAGTGAATGGGCCACTTAGTAATGTACTTTATTTAGGTTTGCTGGCAGTTGTTGACCTTTGCAGAATAAGTTCCTAGGTAACTGTTTTGAGGCCCAGGGATATCAAAGTTCTACACTGAGAAATGTATCCAGATTTTGCCTGAACTAAGCTTACTTATATACATATACTGCCCCGTGGGCAAATATAAAGCAACTGCACAAACTGACCATCATATGGATAGCAACAGGGAATTTAAAGCATATGTAAAGCCTAAACATTTTTGGATAGAGGAGGGAATAGTTAGGACCACATCAGGTTTTTAGGTTCATGAAAGTTATAGCGTTTACAAATGGCAATATATATACAAGTAATGGTGGTGAACAGCAACTTATAACTGGACTACGGCGGACATTCTGACACTGAGGGAAACTGACTTGGTGTCATCACTGACATCCCCATTGACACCAATACAGTGTTCAGCGCAAAAAAAAAAAAAAAAAAAAAAAAAAAAGCACTGACACTGTACTAATGGCACTGGGCAGGAAGGGGTTAACATGAGGGGCAATCAAAGTGTTAAGTATGTGCTGGAAGTGTTTTTCTAGGGGGCGGGATGTGTGTGATTCACTGTAATCACATTGCTGTGGATGGCTGTGCTGTGCAAATCCATCCACAGCAGTGTGCCCGAGCTGACAGGGAGGACAACAGTTAGTAAACAAAAAAATAGTCCTCCTCCCCATCGGAGATCTTCAGAAATCACCGGGCGCCGACGAGTAATTACTGGCCAGGGCCTGGTGATTGACAGCCGTGAATGGTGGCGCAGGTAAGGCATGCAAGCCGCTCGCATGCGCCCCTACCCGGAAATGCAAAATCAGGTATATATACGTGATTTGGTGCACCGCTGCCTCTCTGTAGCAGTATTTCTGCTATGGGACAGTTGGCAAGCAGTTTAAAAAATAAAAAAAAAAAATCAACTTCAATCAACAAAATTTAAAAAAAAATTATTTTCCAGGCCCTAAATTTTTCTAAACAAAAAGACAATTTACTGTCCTTCAGACTTCAGGGGGGCCAGACTGTGGTCAATGGGGGCAGAAAATACCCCATTGTTGGTGTCAGTGGACAGAATAGTTGCCCATTGTTAGTGTCAAAGTGAAGAATTGTGTACAATCAATGGTTAGTGGGAGAAATAGTGCCTCATTGTTCATATCAGTGGGATGGAATAGTGCCCCATCATTACAGTAAATGTAATAGTACCCTAGAGGCCAGATAAAAGCAAGCAAAGGGCTGTATCCAGCCCACAGACTGGGGACCACTGCTCTATTCCATTCACTTAAAGAAAAAAAAAAATTGTAAAAGCCAAAAAGACCTCTGTTGAGGTACCCCTGTGTGTTTCTAATTCCACTCTGTGGAAGTACATTGGGGAATGCATAAATATTTAAACCAAGGTCATCAAGGTTTCTATAGAAGTACTATGACCCAAAGATGACCAGACTTGCTCCAGGCCCCTCTCAGTGTTGACAACCTCATGCAGCATTTTTTTACTAACAAAAACTTGGGAGATTTACTAACACAGCGCTTTGTTTACTGAAAACCAGAAAAAATGACATTAAAAAAGTACAACAATCAATATTTAAACAGTATAAACACAATATGGAAACACTGACAATACCCATAAACAAGAAATTTGACTGGCTTACATTTACAAAAGTCAAACAGCATGAGAAATTATCAGCCTCTGTTATTTACAGACAGCTGTGAAAATCACAGATTTTTACAAACTGTCCGTAAATTTACTGACAGTTGGCAACCTTGACCCCTTGTGGGTGCTCAAATATTAGTAACTAGTCTAGTAACAGAAACCATTCTGTTTCAGTCAATTTTATGGATGTATGTACGCAACTATGCACAGTAAACGTGAAAAGCCGATTTAGGTAGAAGCTTCTCAGCTATGTCAGTTTATGTGGTATGAATGACTGCCTGCTGCCAATATTATGGATTATTCCTAAGCCAAGAACATGATGTTAAGCCAGATGTGCATTACATTTTAAGAACCCATGTGTATTTTTAATCTTACGCTGGTCTGAAATCCTCCGACGTGCCCGTGCATGTTGGCATTTGGCATAGTATCCTGGCTACTGGTCACCGGCTCTGGAATGATGGTGGGATTCAGTACAGCTTTTTTTTCTTTCAGGTTAAGGACTAGTCCAAGCTCTGGCAATGGTAAACAGGAAGGTCTGCTGAGACCAAATAGTGTGTGGTAAAGATCCACAGCCCCACAGCGCAGTCTCCAGTCATGTGAAGTCCCTGCAACATTTAAAAAGTTGTTGGTTACTAGGAAAGTTACAACGAAGAAGTATCATACATAAATCACCACCATTAGGTGTAAATTGACTACTTATTAAAAGGAATGCTATGATAAATTAATTAGAGGATTCTGCAATAAAATACACTCAGTGGACTCAATGGGGTTTACTAAAGCTGGAGAGTCCAAAATCAGACTCCCTTCTGCATAGAAACCAATCAGCTTCTAACCTCAGCTTGTTCAATGAAGCTTTGGCAATGAAACCTGGAAGCTGATTGGTTTCTATGCAGAAGTGAGTCTGATTTTGCACTCTCCAGCTTTAGTAAATAAACCCCAATTTGTCTATTGAAAGGCTTGGGGACGCCCCTAGACCTTCGAGCTTAATCAACTTAAGCGGATATACAGCTCCTACCGTAAAGTCGTCCAATGGAAGCTTTGTACATCCAAAATGTTTAGTTGCACAAGATTGCACTCATGCCTTGTTCCTTGTTGTGTACCCCCTGTATGGGTGTTCAGCTGTCTTGTAATTTTTGCATGCAACAATAAAAAGTATTGTACCAGAAAGGCTTGGTAGGGGGGGGGAGTACAGTGATGCCTAATGCGTCAACTGAGTAAAGGTCCATTTTCAAATTTTGACCATCCCTAGTGGAAAATTTGTTCTGTTGGCGATAACCCAAAATGCTGGATTTTCCCTCAATTTCAATTCCAGTGACAAAGGTCTCCAGCACTAAGAAAAATTTATCTCTGCAAAGAGACAGCAATAAGTGTTACTAAACCCAGGACCCTGCATTCACTATATCTGGTCTCCCACAGTACACAGAACATGGAAGTGCAATTATTTTAGTAAATATAAACTGCTAAATACCTTTTCTCATTAGCAGTTAGAGCAGTCTTGTGACTTCTATCAGTGTTCAGCAGAGCACTGGTTAAAGCTTGTAGGAGGAGTTTTCTTTCTGCTCTAGGAGGATGCAAAACCCCTGACCTCTGTCTGGACAGTGCTGATTGGCCCTGTGCTGATCACATGCATTCTCATAAGTAAAAAAAGAAAAAAAAAAAAAACCTCTCTAGCAATACACACCTAACTGAGCATGTGCAGAATGGCCACGGTTCAGTCTGTCTTATCAGGAGATAAGACGTGGACATTTCAACAAGAGGAGCAGAGAAGACAGGCTCAAGCGGCCTTTTTACACAATGCAAAGGATTCCCTTATGTTCCACAGTAAATATAACAAGCATGCTTTACTTTACAGACTGATGTTACTGTTGTGGGTTTAGCAACACTTTAAAGAATTCCAAGTAAAGAAATGTTATACATAGTTACATTGGTCCACCTTGGACCAACGCAACTACAGTCAGGGCCAAAAATATTGGCACCCCCTGCATTTCGGTCAGAAAATGCACCACTGCGCCCAGAAAACTGTTGCAATTACAAAATGTTTAGGCATTCTCATGTTCATTTCTTTTGTTTGTATTGGAAACAAAAGACAAAATTTGACACATTCCATGCAAAACTCCAAAAATGGACTGCACAAAATTATTAGCACCCTCAATTTAATATTTGGTAGCACACCCCTTGGAAAAAATAACTGAAATCAATTGCTTCTTGTAACCATCAATGAGTTTCTTCCATCGCTCTACTGGGATTTTGCCAACTGCTCCAGGTCTCTCAGATTGGAAGGGTTCCTTTTCCCAACAGCTGGTTTGAGATCTCTCCACAGATGTCTGATGGGATTGAGATCTGGGCTCATTGCTGGCCAGTTCAGTCTTCTCCAACGCCTTGTCTGAAACCATTTCTGAGTGCTTTTTGACATGCGCTTTGGGTCACTGTCATGCTGTAAGACCCATGACCTCTGACGGAGACCCAACTTTCTGCCACTGAGCCCTACATTGCACCCCAGAATTCTCTGGTAGTCTTCAGATTTCATAATGCCATGCACATGGTCAAGACATCCAGTGCCTGAAGCAGCAAAGCAACCCCAAAACATCAGTGAACCTCCATCATGTGTGACTGTAAGGACTGTATTCTTTTCTTTAAAGGTCTCATTTATTTTTCTGAAAACAGTAGAATGATGGGCTTTACCAAAAAGCTGTAATTTTGTTTCCTCTGCCCACAGCACATTCTCCCAAAAGGATTTTGGCTTCCTCAGGTAAGTTTTGACAAACTCCAATCTGGTTTTTTTATGTTTCTGAGTTAGCAGTGGGGAACTCCTGGGTCTCCTACCATAGCATCCTTCTTCGTTCAGATTGTGACGTAAAGAGCGAGCTGGCACAGTTGTGCCCTGTGCCTGAAGGCCAGCTTGAATTTGTCTGGAAGTTGATCGATGTTCTTTATCCACCATTCGAACGGTCCTTTGCTGCAATCTTCGATCAATTATTTTTTCGTCCACGTCCAGGGGGATTAGCTTCAGTGCCATGGACTATAAACGTCTTGACAGTGTTATGCACAATGGACACAGGAACATTAAGATCTCTGGCGATGGACTAGTAACCTTGAGATTGCCCATGCTTTTCCACAATTTTTGTTCTCAAATCCTCAGACAATTCTTTGCTGCTCTTTCTCTTCTCCATGCGGCACACAGACACACAATAGAAAGGTTGAGTCAGTTTTTCACCATTTTAACCGATTGCCTTCTCCATGCTCCATGTGTGATTTCTATATTATCAGCAACTGATAATTGATACAGGTGAGTTTAATTACAAATTACAGGAGCATCACAAACTTGGAATGCAATTATAGCTTACAATTTTGAGAAGATGCCAATAATTTTGTCCAGTCCATTTTGGGGTGGAATGTGTCAGATTTGGCTTTTTGTTTCTCTTTTTTTTGTTTGTATTGGTATGACACAAAAAAAAGTGAATATGAGAATGTCTAAACATTTGTAATTGTAACAATTTTCTGAGTGAAGTGATGCATTATCTGACAGAAATGCATGGGTGCCAAAATTTTTGGTCCATAACTTTATGTATATATCATACCTGGCTGATGTCCCTAGAATCTGGTAATCACTGAAGTAGACAACAGTGATCTCCACTTGCTTTGGGTCCCGTGCTGGGCGCCTGCCCTATTACATTATGAACACAGGCATTTGGCCACTCAGCAACTTATGAATACAAGCATTCTCTGATTGGACAAGGTTGAGAGTGTAACATCACCGCCCTGGCTATCTGCCCTGTCTAATCAGAGAACGCTTTGCATTTATTCATAGAATGCTGCTGATTGGCCAAACGTCTGTGTTCAGAGTGCAGTAAGGCAGTCACTGGCATGGGACTCAGAAGCAAGTCAAGATCTCTAGAGTAGCTGTGTCTACATCAATGATTTCCAGCTTCCAGGGTCATCAGCCAGCTATTATATATGCATGGTTAACTTCTGGACCAAGCTGTAACTATAACTAAAATATCCATACCTGCAATTCTTTTATAGGGTGTCTAAACCTTCCATATGCTATCCAAAACTTTGGGGGGAAAACGTTTTTTGGGTTTAGATACACTCGGATTGTCCCCACAGTGTCAGAGTTAACGAGTTAGGTTTCTGATTGTCAGCTAATAGGTAAAATAACAGCAGCTTTCTAACAGGCTGCCAGGACATTAATAAAATGTTACTGAGACTTTGAATGTTATGCAATGAACAGAACTCAGGCATGCTGTGCTTCCTTTGAATAAACAAAATCGTTTTCTGTACTTCAAGACACAAAGAAAGGATCCAGGTTCCTGCTATAACATTTGGCAGATTGTTTGTCTGGCGAGCAGCCTGTCAGTTCACCCCACCTCCCAGAGTGCAAATCGCTGATTAGAAAAAATATTAACAATGAAGAAATTCAGAGCTCCGAGATACACAATTAAATCCTTGTTTAAATGCGTCACACTGCCAAGACTTAGGGGGTACAATTTCTTACAGTGTTTCTGTGTACTAGCTAAAACAGTTATGTTGAATGTCTCTAGTTTTTTTTTATTTTTTCTTTTAACCAAAACTAGTCTATATGGTACAGATGGTCAAATATACAAACACAATTACTGGAGACCATATTCATCCTAGATATTCCATCTACTTAACCTATCCATTTATTTTACTTTATTACCAAAAAGAGGTGGTCACAGAAAAAATATCACTTATTAGCATGCTACAATCCGACAAATACATTCATTATTTTACATAAATCAAAATGGACTTTATTGTATAGCTCTCAAAGAAAATATATTCAAAACTTGTATTCAAAACTTAGAGTCAAACAGTTATAAATTAAAAAAAAAAAACCCAAAAAAAACAACAACTTAGACAAAATACTTACATTACATACATACATGAAATGTGACCATTTGAATCACAACCATGATTGTATTTTTAATGCCATTCTCCTGATACAATTATAGTTGTAATTCAAATGGTCAAATTCATTATGTAAATGTACACTGGTAGTGATGGCTGTCTAAAGTTTTGGATATAGTGTTTTTGAGTGCTATAATTAAAGTCCCACTTCATGTATTCTAGCCATTCTTTTTTCTGAATATTATTTATATATGAAATGAGAACATGCAAGGGTATTTTACTGTGGATCAATTGTATTTATTTGCTAAATTTACAAATATATAGGAGTACGGAGGCAGAGCTGCTCTCCTGTGCCGGATCACTTACCTAGTAAGCAGGGGTGCACTGACAACTCATGGGACCCCCGGGCAATAGGGGGATCATGGGGCCCCTGTGTCCTCATCCACACACTCAAACCACACCCAAAAAAGCCTATGAAAAAGGTACCAGGGGTATCTCATGGGGCCCTCGGACAGTGCCCGAGTTTCCAAATGGTCAGTCCGCCCCTGCTAGTAAGTGGCCCGGCACTTCCAGGTAGGGCACAAGTGCATGCTGGCTGTGCAGTGATTAGTCACAGCACAAGCCAATCAGCGGGTGCTGGCTAATGATTGACCACCGACACCTGCTGATAGGCAAGAAGGAAGACAGGGAAGAGCTCTGTCAAAGTAAACAATACAGAGGCTCTGTCCAGTCTGTGGGG